CGCGCGGGGCCGGGGCCATGTGTCGCGCGCGGCTCCGCCTCCCGCCGGTCCTCTGAGGCGGCGGCCGGGGGGAACGCAGAGAGAACCAGCCAGGCACCTATCTGGGCCGTACGGTGCCCATGACTGGTGCCCCGGACTGCGCCATGGCGAGGCCTTTTTCTTTGGTCCGGACCATCCGGAAGGGGCTTTCTGGGCCCCGCCCCGTCTGGCCTGGCCTGGCCTGCTCGAGTCTTGCAAGCTCTGCAGGCAGCTAGCGGGCAGACCCCAGCCCCACGTCCTGCTACCCGTCTGCGAAGGATCTGGGAATGGGCAGCGCCACCCGGCCCGCTCCAGAGTCAGCATGGGTAAGGGCGCCCGCCTACCGCAGCCTGGGCTTGGGGCCCTCACCCGGTTCCCGACCCTAGTCCTAGGATGTAGGTGAACGCTCCCCTACTTGTCTGCCGGCTGAGAGTGCATGATACCTACCGATTCCTCTATGGAACCCATGCTTGAGTTCTTCTATGGGGAGAGTCAGGGAATCGGGTGGAAGGGGGTTCCACGTGGGACTTTACTTCTGGCCAACCTTGGAGGATCTGGGCCTGATGTGGTGGGGCGGCTCCCGACTGGTAGGCCCAGCCCACGCCCTTCTCTATCAGTGACTAGGCCCCAGAGGTAACATAGAATTACCCCAGAAGAGAGGATGACTCCATAAGAATGGGATAATAAGGTAGAATTTAATGCATGGCGAAGTAGAATCCAGGTCTGGACTTTGTGGGGCCTTTCCGAAGCCTGGGGGGCAGAACTAGGGCTGGAAGCTGTGGAAAGTCTGGCTTCCCTCACTTGTTTGATCACTTCCCAACAGCTGGAGCTACCTATGAACAGGCAGAAAATTGATTGTGCCTCGGGAAATTCCCCCTAATGATGCCACGGGAGATCCCATTGAGTTCTGGGAGAATGGTTGTATCTGACCAGAGGCTACTATTTTGACAGCCTTTGTAAAGGCACTTATAATTGAGTGATGATAAATTAAGGAACCATTCCAGAAACTGAACCAGTCCCTGGGAATTGGGGGAGCGATGACTTGTCAAGCCTTGATTCCACCTTGACTTCTGAGCCACAGTCCTTGCGAGGACTAAAGCCTCTCGGTCTGCAGACGTGGCCGCAGCAACTAGCAGAATGCCAGGGTCTCTTAGAATGTCTGAGTTAGGCTCGAGATAAAGAAAGCCACTGCCCATGCCCTTTTTTTCCCCTTTGAGTATTTCTCTAGGTAATGTTTTTCTGGTCATTGTGCTCTTGAGTTGGCCACTTTCCTGCATGTGAATTTCTCTGCCTAGTCATTCTCCCTGATCCAGAAAAACAGGCAAGAATGCTTTCAGATCTCACTAGAGTCTACCTTCTCTCTGGACTCAGCTCTCTTAGTCCACATCCTGACCTGTGAGAACAGGGAAGTCAGGTTCATCCAGCGTCTCAGAAGAGGCCCAGTTTGCCATTGGAGTTGGCTAATAAGGAGGGACTACCCACAGGACACATACAGCATCAATGAGGTGGAATCTCTTAGAACTAGGAGCAGTTATTTCAAGTCCCACTCTAGATTGTCTGGATTGGTACTTTTTTTTTTTTTTTTTGAGTTGGAGTCTCACTCTGTCGCTCAGACTGGAGTGCAATGGCTGCTCCCAGCCGCTATAGCCTCGACCTGCTTGGCTCCGGTGATCCTTCCGCCTCAGCCTTCCAAGTAGCTGGAACTACAAGCACGCGCTACCACGTCAGGCTAAGTTTTTGATTTATTGTAGAGATGAGGTCTCACCAAGTTGCCCAGGCGGGTCTCGAACCCGCGGGCTCAGGCAATCCACTCACCTCAGCCTCCCAAAGGCACGGGATTACAGGCTGAGCCACCAAGCCTGGCTGGATTGGTACTTTTTTTTTTTTTAGTTGAAGTTTCACTCTGTTGCCCAGGCTGGAGTGCAGTGGCACGATCATGGCCACCGCAGGCTCAACCTGCTGGGCTCAGGAGATCCTTCCACTTAAGCCTTCCAAGTAGCTGGAACTACGCCACCATGCCTGGCTAATTTTTTTATTTATTGTAGAGATGAGGTCTCGCCAAGTTTCCCAGGCTTGTCTCAAACCCGTGGGCTCAGGCAGTCCTCTCACCTCGACCTCCCAAAGTGTTGGGATTACAGACTTGAGCCACCGCACCCAGCCTGGATTGGTACTTTCTAGGACACAGTTTTCAGATGAGCTAGGCTTATGGCAATGGATTTATCTGCATATTTCAAGGCCCTGGGTAGCTTGAATACAGGGTTTTCTTCAGAGTAAAAAAATATATTGTTTCTTCTCAGGGTTGCCCAAGAGTAGGAAGAATTCAGGACCCTCCCCCTTGTTCCAGCCTCTAGAATTTCCCTGTAACTTCTTTGTCTGGGGTCAGCTAGCCATTGCGAGGCATCTTGACCACAAGAAGTCCTTAACCTTTCTAGAACAAGGCAGTCCATCTAGGTCTCAGAGATAAGAGAACCCTGAGGTCCTCCAGGATCTATCTGTATCCTTTGTTCATGTAGGACTGACTTGGAAGTAGGGCCTGACATGGGGCAATTGGGAGACGGCTGCACAAGTGTAGGTCATGGTGTCAGGATGCCTGGGTTCTCAACTAGCTCAGAATTAGGTACCTTAGTGACTAGTAGCCCACCTGTCCTCTCTGAGCCATGTCTGGATTTATTCTACTGTCTTTGCAGTTGCTGGGTTGGGAGGAGAGGAGTGATTTCACAGACACAGATTTCTCAAATTTTAGAACTGGAATGCACCTTATATAGAAAATCTTAGGGTTCCCTTAATGAGACATCATCTCATTTTCATTTATCTTATTTGAAAATTATTATTTTTCTCCTTTCTTGCCAGTGACCAGTTTTATATCGCAACCATTTTGGGGGCCTTTTTTTTGTGTCAGGCTCCGGGTTGAGACTGCAGGTCGAAAAATGAATCCTACCCAGTCCTAGTGCTGGTGAAAGGAGGTCACAGGTTTTAGGGGTAATGTTGGTATTGTTCTGAGGGCTAAGTTGAAGGATCTCTATAGGAGTTACTAATCCTGTGCAGAAGAGGGGGCTTCTGAATGATTGGAGCCCCAGAGAGAAAAGGCTATTTCTAGGCCAATGCTCCTTTTTAGTGCCTGGCAGGAAATGCACAGGGAGGTATTCCTCTGGATTGTGGGCCCAGAAAGTTCTGGATTCCCTTCAGCAAGGCTGTCACCACTTAAAGTTGCTATGGCTGTTGAGTCTAGCTGCTGGCTTCTAAAGTCTGCTCCTCCTGGGTCTCCCAGAGGTCTCTGCTGGATGTTCTCATAGTGCGTGGGACTGTCACTAGCATTTTGTTGTTGGTAGCCTTCTAATCCCCTGCCTGGATCCTAGGTTTGTGGCTTCTGCTCCTTTCACTGAGACCCTCTTATGGTTACCTTTATTCAGGTGCCCAGTAGTTCCTGGAGTGGTACCTATCAGGGCATCTTCCCAGAGTGCTAGACAGGAACCCTCCCCAGAGGTGGAAGGTTCAGTAGACTGGTCAAGGAGGCTCCTTGGGTGTTCCTTCAACAAATGGCCTTTATTTAGGGGATTATGAAGTATGCAGGAGCCAACAGGAACTTAGGAAATGCCAATAGTGCTTGTTTTAGAATCCCATTCAGTCCATCCTCATTGAGGCCTCCAGGACAAAGGAATAGTCCTTTTAGGGCAAGGGGAGTGAATCCAAAAAGTTTTCTACAGAATGGACATTGAAAGCTGGACAGGATTTCCTTGGAATGGGGTCAGGCTGAACCTTGTCCTGGGCCTTTTCGGTTAATGTTTTGAAGATGATGTTTATTTGCAATTCAGTTTAATGACTACCCCTTTCCCAGCTTTGAGATTGTTATTCTCTTCCTTTGTCTTTCTTTCTTCCTTTCTTCCCTCCCTCCCTCACTCCCTCTTTCCCTCTTTTCTTTCTTTCTTTGTCTGTTATTAGAGGTAGAGTCTCTCTCTGTCACCTAGCCTGGAATGCAGTGGTGCAGTCTTGACTCACTGCAGCCTCAAACTCCTGGGCTGAATGGTCCTCCCGCTCCGTCTCCTGAGTAGCTGTGACTCTAGGCATGTACCACCATACCTCGCTAATTTTTAAGTTTTTTATAGAGACGTGGTTCTTACTATATTGCCCAGGTCTCACTATATTGCCCAGGTTGGTCTTCAACTCCTGGCTCAAGCGATCATCCTGCCTCCACCTCCCAAAGTGCTGGGATTACAAGTGTGTGCCACTGTGTCCAGCCATGTGACAGGAATTCTTGACTCCCTCCCTGAGGACGGCAGCAGTGTGTAGATTATCCCTAGAGTGACTTCTGGCCCATGTGATATGATCATTCTGGTCAGCACCCTGTCCACCAGGTATGTGTGACGCCCTCACCCTGTTAGCTAGAGTGTATCCTTCTGGGCACAATGCTTTGCTGAAGCCTAACTGTAGTTGGGGAAGTGTCCCAAGGAAGAGGGACATGAGGGCCAGGGATGGCCTGCTCAGGGCTCCTACTTCCAACTAACCTGTGGCCAAGAACTTTCTTTCACTGTCCTGGCCTTACTTGTTTATTGCTAGTACCTGCTGTATACCAGCTCCCTAAGCCTCCAGGCTGGAGATAGGGCTACCATGGGGTTGGAGAATCCGCTCATGAGAGAGCAGTGTCTGGGGTACCTGGGAATAGTGAGCCATTTGCCTCAGTATTCTCAGTAAACTAGGGCAATTCTGGAATTTTTTTTTTTTTTTTTTTCTGAGTAGGAGTCTCATTCTATCACCCAGACTGGAGTGCAGTGGCACGCTCATGGCAACCGCAGCCTCAACCTGCTGGGCTCAGGGAATCCTTTTGTCTTAGCCTCCCAAGTAGCTGAAACTATAGGCATATACCACCACGCCCAGCTATTTGTTTGATTTATTATAGAGATGAGGTTTCACCATGTTGCCCAGGCTAGTCTCGAACCCTTAGACTCAGGCAGTCCTCACACTACTGCCTCCCAAAAGTGCTGGAATTACAGGCGTGAGTCACCCACTGTGCCCAGCAAATGTTTGTTTGTTTCTTCTTTTTTTTTTTGAGTTGGAGTCTCACTCATTTGCCCAGGCTAGAGTTCAGTGGCATACTCACAGTCACCACAGCCTCAACCTGCTGGGCTCAGATAATTCTTCCACTTCAGCCTTCCAAGTAGCTGGAACTACAGGTGTGGGCCACCATGCCCAGCTTTTTTTTTTTTTTTTTGAGTTAGAGTCTCACTCTGTCACCCAGACTGGAGTGCAGTGGCCGCTCCCGGCCACCGCAGCCTCAACCTGCTGGGCTCCGGCGATCCTTCCAAGTAGCTGGAACTATAGGCGCGCACTA